CCCCAAGAGGAGTTTACAGAGTGCCCCCAGCAGAGCAGTCTAGAACAGAGTGGCTGTGCTCTGAGAGGCTCCTGTGGGTGCCCAGCAAGCGCATTAGAGGGGCATCGGGGTCCTACAGCCGGCGGGCCCTGCTCTCCGTTCCCACAGCCCACAGCACATTCCTGGCCCTGCCTACCCCTGACCCCCTTCACCGCCCTATCACGTTGCCTCTCACGCCCAGGCCTGGCCTTTCAGGGCGGCGGGAGNAGGAGCACTGGGGTCCTACAGCCGGCGGGCCCTGCTCTCCGTTCCCACAGCCCACAGCACATTCCTGGCCCTGCCTACCCCTGACCCCCTTCACCGCCCTATCACNGGGCATCGGGGTCCTACAGCCGGCGGGCCCTGCTCTCCGTTCCCACAGCCCACAGCACATTCCTGGCCCTGCCTACCCCTGACCCCCTTCACCGCCCTATCACGTTGCCTCTCACGCCCAGGCCTGGCCTTTCAGGGCGGCGGGAGAGCCAGAGAGGGTGAAGAAGCGACATGGAGAAGGCAGAGCAGGGCGTTCCCACTGGCCACCAGGTGGCACCATTGACACAGGACAACCAGGGGAGGGGACGGGGGTGGCACCTTTAGCAGAGGACCTTCCAGACTCTAGCTGGCCTGCCGCCTAGACCCTCCAGCGCTTGGCCTCCTGGTGGGTGCTTGCCTCTCAGGGCACAGTTGTACCAAGGGCTTACAGCTAACAAGGCCTTGGCCCACGGTGAACACGGCCCCCTTTGTCTTTTCAGGTCGGCAGGATTATTTGCAGTGTGGCAGGGGCTGGGGAGGGGGCACTAGGTCCTTATTGCCTCTCCCCAACCAAGTTAGCGAGGAAAGTTGTATCTAACTCTTGGGATATGGCCTATAGGAAAACCCTGAACTCTGGCCCCCACCATGACCCCACGCAGGCCACTTACTCTATTTTCCTCTGTCGCTAAACCTGTAGGTGAGAGTTACAATACCCACCCTGCTGGGAGAATGGAGCGAACTGCAGGAACATAGTGATTAAAAGTACATCGTGGGAGCTCAAGTCCTTGTTCCACTGCTTACTTGCTGTGTGGCCTTGGGCAGGTGGCTTACACTCTCTGAACTTGTTTTTTCATCTGTAAAACAGGAGCAGGAACACCGACTCTCCTGACATTTCTGTGAGGACTGAAGTGGTCAGTGTGTGAAAGAGCCTTTAGAACTGTGGCATGAAACAAATACTTAATAAACAGATAACAATATAGGGCAGCTTGGGCAGAAAAGGGACTTTGGAGATGGGACAGGTCAGCCCTCCAGCCCAGGCAGGAATCTTCCAGAAGCATGCAGGTTGGATGGCCTCCAGGTGAGTTTGCATACCTCCAGTAACAGAGAGCTCACCCCCTCATGAGAAAGGAGACTGGTCCAGCCCAGCTCATGATTAGAAGGGTCTCCTTCAACTGAGGCACAGCTGGTTCTCGGGGGCTGAATCATGTCCCTGGGCCTAGTGGTCGGGTCCCCTCCCACCCAACTGCCCATTGCTACATGGTGCAGAAAGGGGGCCCCCTCGAAGGCAAACTTGGGTGTTGTTAGGAGAGGAGGGAGCCTGCCCTCCACACCGGCCCTCTCCAGTGCAGGGGTGCTTGAGACGGGATGAAAGGAAGCAAGGAGCCGATCAATCCGTCCTGGAGCTCTGGGCAATGGGGACCCCGAGGACCGGGAGAAGTGGGACGCTGTGGGTCTCAGGCACCAGGGTCATTGTGAGAGGCCTCCCAACTGGTGGGCCCCTCTGGGCACTGGAGTCTGTGAGGGGGAAGTGACTTCCTATGGCCCGAGGAGGGAGGAGAGTGGTCCCCTTCCCAGGCACTTCTGCTTCCTGTGCATCTGCTGCCCAGGGTGCACGCTGGGAGGAAATGCGGAGAAGATGGCCCGTTCCTGAGCTTCAGGACCAAGCTGCGGCCAGGCCGGGCCTCGCGCTCCCTCCCTCGCTTCCCCTCATTCAGGGCAGGTGACAATCCTGCCTGGGGGTGGGTGGGTTCTGTTTTCCTCTCTGGACAGGGAGCACCTTGAGGGCAAAACTATGACTCATGTTTTGCACTTCCACTGCCTGGCGCACAGTAGGTACTTAATCAGTGTATGTGGGAACCAAACTGAAAACAGAGGCCAGCGGTTTCAGTCCAGCTTGGAAAGCTTTACTCTTCATGTGGACAAGGTCTCTCAGGACCACAGTGATAGCTGTGCTCCTCATTTCCTCTCAGGACTGCCACCTCCTCCCTGAAGCCCTCCTCTTTGCTCCATATACATTTCTGCCATTGAGACAGAGCAGTGGTTAGGAGCACAGAGGCTGGGACCATCCTGAGTCACTTCTCCTGGACACATGTCTTAGCTGTGTGACCTTGGGCAAATTTTATGTTAACTTCCCTGTGCCTCAGTGTCCTCATCTGTGAAATGGAAGTGATTATCATATCCACCCACAGACCGTGCGAGGGTGAAATTGACCTGTTGAGTGGAAGTGTCTGGTGTTAGGAGCTGCTCAGAAGTTGCTCAGTTGTGCTGGGTTACTGCTCCTGCCCCGAAGCTGGGATCTGTCATTCCTTCCTCCTCTGCTGAGGCCAGTGCCGGGTGCAAACAGGTGCTCAGCAAAATGAGAAGGGATAGATGGATGGATGGATGGACAGGCAGACAGATGACTGGGCAAAAGCAGGCGCTGAAATGTGCTGTCCCCCAGGGTCCTCACCTGCAGACTGTGCTCTGGGTGCCCAACGGCTGCCCCCTTCTCTCTACGAGCAGAGCCCATGTCCTCTGCCCCCTCCCGCCACCTGCTCATTTGTAGTTCCCACCAAGCGTATGGCGAGGAACCACCCATGGACCCAAGTCCAGCAAGTTCACTGTCTGGCGCCCACTTGGGTGAGAGGAGATGGGAAGTTTTGATGAAAATGAGGTTTCTGAATGTACTCTGGCTCCTGTCACCCTGGTACCTGGGCCCTGATAACACAGCCTGGCCCACTGGCTCCTGCCCAGGCCCATTCCTGCCTCTCCCTGGGAGGCTGAATGGCTCCCAGTAGCTCAGACACTTAATTATGATCCAAGAGCCCACCCCCGCCTTTTCTTTTCCAGTCTCATCTGTGCTCTACAACTCAGAGGCCTGCCATCCCTCTGAGGCCAGTTGGAGGGTCTTCTCAGTGCTCAGTGTTAGGCCCGCCACCTTCACAGCAAGCCCGGGGGGAAGGCACCTTATCCCCTTACGCCCATTCATGCAGCCGTGTTTACTGAGCACGTACTAGGTGCTGGCTCTGCTCTGCACGGGGGAGGGGGAGGTAGGAAGACAAACAGGCGCCAGGCAGGCAAGGGGCCTCAGGCGGCCGGGCCCAGAGGCAGCAGAGCTCCCAGGCTCCAGGGCTGTAGGCCGGAGGGTGGCTGCAGTGTGAGGGGCCAAGGCCCGGCGTAGGGGTCGGGGGAGGCAGAGCAGAGTCCGTGTGACAGGCAGGAGCGGAGCTGGCGCCCCTGTTGTGTTGTGAGGCAGCCTGGCACTCAGCCACCTCCTGATGCCAAGTCATAAAGAGACTCCTAGAGGCACAGACCGATGCCTTTAAAATGCTCCCTCCGCACAGAGGCATTAACGTGACGTCCATCACCATGGCACCGAGGTGCTTAGACAACCCGCTCCCCCCAGGAGCTCAGGAACAGCGTGAGGCAGATTATCTGTGTCTCACCGTGACACGTGCGATCATGCATCATCGTGATGGATCAACAGTCAATACCACCGGGCCCCTCGGCCCAGCCGGCGGGAACGGTCTCATTCACGCGCCTTCCGGCCCGGGGGCGCCCGCTCCTGCCCGCGCTCCCAGCTCTCCTGGCATCGGCGGCAAAGCCTGGCTCTCACGGGTCCTGCACAGAGGGTCCTGCACAGGGCGGCGGCAACTGGACCCGTCATGTCCCCACGGGGGAGGCGAGGCCCGGGCTTCACACAGCTGGGCGTGTGCCAGCCCGCGCCCCTGCCTGGCCTTGGGCAAGCTGCTTTGCCTCTTGGGGGCGTAGTTTTATAACTTTGTACTGTTGGGATAATAACGTTTATATTGGTGCACGGAGAAAGGAGGTGGAGTGCCTGGCACGTGCTGAACCTCAGCCACCTTGGGTGCCAGCACACTGGGCTCGTCACCCCCACCCGCCCCCTTCCCTCTGCTGCTGCAGACACCTGACCCTCCCCCTCCAGCCTAGCCTGGGGCAAGGCTCCAGAATGCCAAGGGCAAAGGCTCGGGGTCTGCAAATAATCAGTCCCTGTGTCCGTGCCTGCTGGACGTGAGGACAGGGGCTGTCGCGTGGGGCCAGATGGGGAAGCAATTTATGTGTCTCCTGGTGGGGGAGGGGTGCACTCAGGTTTAGGGAAGAAAGACATTGGAGGCGGGCTGGAGAGGAGGCATCTGCTGGGCCTCTGTGGGGACCCAGGGTGGCCCTTGTGGGGCTGGGAATGGGTGGATCCCGCCCTCACCCTAACTGCCTGCCTTTCCTCCATCGGGCACCTGCCCCTTCCTGGATCCTACTCCTCCCCCCCCCCAAACCCTGCTCTTTGGTGAGCACATTATCCGAGGGCTCCTAGACTCTTGCCAAGGGGAAGTTTGCTTGAACCTGGGCATTTTTAAACAGTTTCAGGAGTGAGCAGCTAAACCAAGCCCTGCAGTCACTGGTGGAAATGTGTCCTCTCAGTCACCAGTGTCTCCTGGACGGGCCTCCAGCTGGAAAGGGGTCAGGAGGGGAGGAGCCCGCCCACCTGGCTGCTTGGGAGGCCTAAGCCCTGCCCAGCAACTCTGCCGAAGGAGCATGAGCCCCAGAGCCTCGCCTGGTGCCCAGGGCTGTTCCCACCGCTTGGGCAGGAAGCCTGGGGTTGTTGAGAGGAGCAGGCCCAGTGAGGCCCGGAGGAAGCAGAAGGGAGGAGTTTGGTGGGGACGCGAAAGGGAACTGTGGCTACCAGCAGGCTGTCCTCCCCTGGGAACTAAAGAGGAAGGGGAGACACTGCGCCGATGGAGCGCCGGCCTCGGAGGCGGCGGGCCCTGCTGGGTCCCCTCCCGGCCCCCTGGCTCCTGGGCTTGCTCCTGGCCCCCTGGCCCCTGCAGCTCACAGGTAGGCCGTCCTCCCTCCTGCGCTCACTGGTTCTGCACACAGAGCAGCTTTCATCCAGCCGCTGGCCCGCCGTGCAGCTAATTCCTGTCTCGGGGGATTTACTGGTTGCGTTTGAACATTGCAGACTTCACAGGGCAAGCCTTTGGGGACCAGGAGATGTTTAGCTAATGCCTTGCCAAGGTGGCTTTTGAAGGGGAGGGGGCAGTGCTTCTGCCTCAATGCTGTGTTAGCAGCCTCCCTCCTTGCACAGCCTGACCTCCTGGCCCTTGAACAAGGTGGGTGGCCTTGCTGTGGTCAGGGGGCGTTGGGGTTGGGTGCAGGGGTCAGTGGGGAGGGACAGCTCACCCCCAAGGAATCTAAGGTAGGAGCAGGGCATTGAACCTGCCAAGTGGCAGGGCCACCCTTAGGGTTGTTGCTGGGTTAGCCAGGGAGAGGAGGGGAGGCCAGCAGCTGGCCACCAGAGCACTGTAACCTGGAGCACAAAATTGTCACTGTCACCAGAAAGGATGGCACCTCCCGTTTCCTGAAATATGAGAGACCACATCGCTAATTTTACAATGGGAGCCAGGCCTTTCCCGGGGCCAACACTGCCTCCTTCCTGGTCTCAGGCCCCCTTGGAAGCTGGGTGGCCTGGATCCAAGCCAGGACCTGGGGTGGGTGGCCTTAGGGTGAGTTCATCCAGGCCAGGGAACCCCCAAGAGTGTGCCTTGCCAAGGCTGCCCATACCAAGGTCCCTCGAGCTCAATTTCTTCCTGGGCAGTGCTGACCCTGGTCCCCCACCCCACTGTGCAAGATGGGTGGGGTCCTCCCTTTTCGCTCAGACTTCGATGAGGCTCCCAGGAGCGGTCCCCTCTGGGTTGTCCTCTGCCTGGCACTCATACCGTGCACAATAGCAGCTGTTATGATCGTGAATCAGCCTCTTTGAGCTTCACTCTCACACTGACGCTCAGCGCCTCTCGAGGCGCCCTTGGGTGCTGTTCCTACCGGCACCATTTAGGAGCAGAGGAATGGAGACTCAGGGAGGCCAGGTGGCTTGTCCAAGGCTTAGTGGCTAAGTAGAGGTCAGGTTCAGACTGGGGTCAGCCTCAGCCTCGAGCTAGGACCCTTGGCAGTGGGCTCTGGGGTTCCTCTCACCTTTCTTTGTAAAGAACATTCTTCAAGGAAAAATAATCCCCCCACCCCGTGCCCCCAGAGAGGCCGGAGCTGCATGTATGGTACCTACTGCAGGTCTCAGGGCTGGGCCCTGGTGATATCTCTCCTTGAACCTGGTCACCTCGCTCCCCAAGAGAAGGGCCAGTGCAGAGACGACCTGAGGAAACGCAGCTTGGTGGGGACTATGCGTCTAAACTCACACGTAGTCATTTTTAACTTAATTTCTCCAAATTCCCATCGTTTCTCTTTGTGGGTCCCTCCTCCCCAAAAGGGACCTGACACCGCCTGGAAACTCAGTGCAGGAGACTTTGCCGGTGCCGCTGTGAAGAGCATTTTGTAACCATCTTGACGAACAACAGATTTCCCCTGTATTGCATCAAACATTATAAAAAGAGAAACTGCTCTTTCACAAGAGGTGAAATCACCCTGTGGCCTCCTAGAACCTCTCGGAAGGGCAAGCAGCACCCTGTTACTCCCGGCCTGCCACTGCAGCTCTGTCTCTGGGCTTTGAGGGTTTGATGAAGGAACTCCGCCGCTCCCGCGGCCCCTAAACCTCCCCTGACTTCAGCCATCGGCCTGGGGCAACCAGCTCCATCAAAGAACAGCACCAAGGCCGAGCCCGCACCCCTTGCCTGTGTCCCGGGTGACCTTGGGGAGTATGGTCACTGAAGCCCAGGGTCAGTGTGCCATTTCCCTAAACCGCTCTATGATGTGGGGTTGAGGCAGGCCAGGGGTGTCGGCCTGGGCAGGTTTTTAATGCCGCTGTGCCTCAATTGCCTCATCTGTTAAATGGGTATGATAGTAGTGCCTGCCGGCTAGCATGTCCCGAGACTCAGTGGTTAGGGCATGTGGTCAGGGCTCAGAGAGTCAGCACCTGCCAGCCTAGCAGAGCCAATTGACACTGGAGATTCAGTTGACTGGCTCAACATCTGGGTGAACCCACGGCTCCTTGGGGTCACTCCAACCTTCCCAGTGGTCTCCGGTACACCCTGGGATGGCATCTCTGGACCTCGTTTGCTCCATTTTCTCTGAGGGCCTGGCAGCCACCTGTGGTCTCATGGGCAGCTGCTCTCCCAGAGGTCAAACACCTGAGCCTCCAGCCCTGCTTCCAACAGGCCTCAGTCACCTCCCAGGACTTTGGGGCCAGGCAGACCAGGTTCAGGTCTTACCTTCTCCTATTGACTGCTGTGTGAGCTTAGGCAACGTACTTAACCTTTCTGAGCCTCAATGTCCTCAACAAATGGCAGTCCTCTTTCAATCCTGGCCTTTCCTGAGCTCTGGGCCGTTTATTTCTCAAATATCCATTGAGAAGGACCAGTTCTAGGCACTGGGGGACCGAGAGGTGAACAAGAAAGACACAACCCCTACTCTCGGCCTGTTAGAAACCATGAGGTTCTCCTGGAGAGCGTGACCCCCGACCGGAGGCAGGAGTTACCCGATGCCTCCCGTCCCCCATTTGCTCTGGACTCGGGTGTCTACCTCCCTTTGATGTCCAGGAGCCTCCTGCGTGCTTCTGCAGCTCCAGCCTCCATCAGCACTGGCCTCTGCTTTTCATCTTTGTCTAATCCCAATAAAGAGCTTTGGCGGCGGCGGAGGAGAAGCCCCTCTCGGCTGGAGGCAGGGCAGGGGCGCGCTGGGGGGCCGCGGGGCGCGGGGCGGTGCGGGGATGAAGGCT